AACACGATTTACGTCTATGTCCAATTTGTAACTCGAATGAGATTGGGGACGAATATCACTACTTTTCACATTGTAGTAACAAAAGGTTAGAAAGACTGCGAGAAAATTTTTTAAATGAGTTAGTTGATTATAACAGCAAATTCAGCTTGTTGGGTACAAATAATTTATTTTTATACTGCGTGTCAATGAATGACAAAAACATTATTAATCCTTCGGCCAAGTACATATACGAAATTATGAATATTTTTTTAGATCTTGCCTGCATCTATAGCTCTTCCTTGATTTGTCCTTGTTTAAATTTTGTCATTGTTGCAAATATTATTACTCTGTTCTATTATGTTATTTTTATATAGCTTATAGACATTTGCTGTATTCTTTATATACCAGTACTGGTATCTTTGTTTGAATAAAGTTATTATTATTGTTATTATCACTGTGCACGTGGCACTGGTTTTATCTCTGTTGGTGAACTAGTAAAGTAGCGGAGAAAAGGACCCACGTTGGACCCCGTGCGAGTTTAGTTCCCGGAGTTTAGTTCCTTGTAAAATGCTATGGTATTCAAGAATGTAAACAAAGTGTGATTCGAATTTCGAAATCGGATACAGTTTCAACTAGCGAATGAAACATGACACCTTGAAAACGTGTTCAGGTATTTTTATACACACACACTTTATATTATTTGACATTTGCAAAATGGATAGTTCTTTGATCGCAGCTATTGATCAAGGCACATCAAGCACCAGAATATTGGTAAGGAAAAACATAAGCTTTTTATAATAGCTAGGCACTAGCAGTCAATTTAGGTCATTTCAATATATATAAAAGAGTGTTACAGACTAAGAGCCTAAGACAAACACAATCGTTGGAAGAGCATTGGGCTAGTGTTCCAAAGGTCGTAGGTTCGAATCCCACCGTGGCCGGGCATATTTTTCAAGCTCGCCCGGTGTGGATATGCACTCAGAGTAACATCGCAAACATATTATTCACCTGAGTACACAACACCAACACAGAAAAATACAATCAAATGTATTGACTATTGTATTAATATTGAAAAATGATTTTTTTCTGTGTTGGTGTTATGTACTCAGGTGAATATGATGTTTGTGAGTGTATACACACACCGGGCAAGCTTGAAAAATATGCCCGGCCACCGTGGGAATCGAACCTACGACCTTCGGAACTGAGTCTACTTCCTTCAATATCAATGCAATCTAGTAATCATGATTTTTTTCTGTGTTGGTGTTATGTAATCAGGTGAATATGATGTTTGTGATGTTACTCTGAGTGTATATCCACACCGGGCAAAAAAATCATGATTACTAGATTGCATTGATATCGAAGGAACTAGACTCAGTTCCGAAATATCACATACTCGACCTGACCGTGTAGCTCAGTTGGCAGAGCATTGGGTTAGTATTCCAAAGGTCATAGGTTCGATTCCCATCGTGGCCAGGCATATTTTTCAAGCTTGCCCAGTGTGGATATACACTTATAAGTAATAGCATAAAAAGAAGCGAATTAGCTATTAAAACGTCCCGCCCGATGAGGGTCGTTTAGTATAATTCCCTTGGGCGCCGCTCGATGAGGGTAATTTAGTAAAATTCCCGAGGGCCGATATTCCCGTTGTTCTCGCAGGGCCATTAAAAACCAATTAAAAATAAATAATGGTATAAATTAAATGGTACAATTGTTTTTCCTGTCTTTGTTTAGTTTTGGCGATTTCAGATATCTTCATGTATATTCATTTTTTCTAATCGTACTCGCTTTGACGTCGTTTCGGGTAGGATTAGAACTAATTCTACCTGACATGACGTAAAAGCGGGTAGGATTAGAAAAAATGAATATAATGAGGTGTATTAGTTTTGCCCTGCGAGAACAAAGGGAATACCCGCAATCATGATATTATCAGAGTAACATCACAAACATAATATTGAAAAGCTTTAATTTCCTGCAGTATATAAATTTTCATGTAATATATATTCACACAGTATTATATACCATAGGGTTACAATTATTTATGAATTATCACTTATTTACTGAGACCAAGGGAAACAGTGTGTTTTGTGGACTGAAGACCACCGTTGTTGCCTGAGGCGAACAAGTAAATAAGTGTTTTGTTATATAGTATATAAGTGTCAAAGTATGAATAATTCACCGGTTATTGGCTCAGTGAACTTTGAAACCAAAACTAGATATAATATGGAACACCGTAAATGGTTAATAAAAAAAGTTTAATAAAATGAACTTTGGAACTTCACAGTTGGCGCGCATGCACACTGCACCCATTCTATTATTGACTGGTCAATAATTGTTTCATTGTGTACCGTTGCCCCCTCACCAAAGCATGCAGTGAACATGACGTTTTGTGGACTGGCACATGATACGGTTTTGACCAATCGGACTTGTTTGATACTAACTTTGATACTAACTATATAACAAATTAATATGTCTTATTACACCAAATGCTCTTGTCAACAATTTGTATCGTGTTGTATCGCCAACATATTTTCTACAGCCAATCAAATGTTTCAGTAATTGTGTCTAAGAACCAGATTGGCTGTTTAAAATTAGAATTGTAACCATGCACAAAAAAATAGATGTGGTTGTGAACATGAAAATAAATTTTTGATGACATTGGTGATCCATAGTAAACTCTACTTGGTGGCATCCTTAGTAAACTCTATTTAGTGATGCCAACATTTATTAGAATCTTGCCAATATTTGAAAAAGAATTGGGGGGACTAAGGGACCCCACCCTTAATCAAACGTAGATTTTCAGGTCCCCCCTTGCCTTAACAATAATTTTTAAGCCCCCCCCCCCCCTATAACTACTGTATATAGCATGCACTTTACAAAAGACAAAAAAGGAATGTACCATGTTGTTCACAGTGAATGAGTAACACATGTACTATTGCAATTTATATATGCTACAATGTACAATTCACACTATATTAAATGTACATCTTTGTTTTTTATTCCTTTTGTGTGCAACTATAAACTTTGTACGGCAGGGACAGAGAGCAGAAAAGAAAGTTAGTTATTATGTATTAATATTATTTATTTAAAAAATTCCTGGTTTCTGATTGGCTTAAAAACAGCCAACTGTGAAATTTTCATATCAACTCAATGGCTAACCAAATATGGATTTTTCACATTCATAATAGCAAAAGGACGTCAAAGAGTCAATATGAAAAAAATTTGGACGTGTTTGCGCCATATTACTATGACAACGAGAATCATATTGACTTGCTGACACCATTGATATGACAACGACGACGGCTGCCAAAGGACTAAGGAATTGTTTTTTTTCTTAATACAACTAAAATACAAATGGTTTCCGAGTGTTTTAAATTTTTTAAATAAATAATAAAACAATTACTGAATTCGGTTTTCGCACGATATGAAGAATTATCATTAAAAAAATGCCCTCCTCATTCAATAATTTTTAAATATTAAAACACCAACAGCAATCTTTTATCAGATTTATAACACGGGCGATACCCAAGTGTTTTAAGGTTACAGGACACCCTTTTTGGCGTTTTGCGGATAATCATATAGAGGGCAAAATTACTCAAATATGATTGGCTAATGAGGAGGGCATTTTTTCTTAATTCAGGGCAAAATTACTTGTACCTGATTGGCTGAGATGCAAGCACGGGAAGTTTCTTGTTTTAAATAGCAATAAAAACAATGGCTTTTTGGTTTGTCATCGCGGATAATGATGTTATTGAAGAATTAAAAACTTCTAGTGAAAACTTGAACACTAGAAAAAGTACAAATTTATTGCCATTACTGGTTGGAGTATTTAAGAAATGGGCAGGCAGGGCAGCATTAAGGAACATCGGCGAAGACATATGAAGACATACGAGGTTCAAGAACTTGACAAGTTCACAATTAACTTACTGTACGAATAAAGTTTACCCTCTATGATTAACAAGTAATCGCATAGTTCCTCGTAAAATTAAGGTTTAATTTCACTTGTGTGTTTCAAAGTTTCACAAATTTGTGAAACTTTGAAAAAACGCATGAAATTAAACCTTAATTTTACTCGGCCCCATGCGATTACCTACACAAATCGCTACTGTGCGCTCAATATCAATCCGATTTTCATCAGATTTTCACATGAAACTTCAAAAAATATATAAAATTTTCATGTTGTTTTTCACACAAAATTCTGGTTGTGAAATTTCTAGGTACAGCTAAGTGCATATCAGACAGCAAAAGACGATTTCCTTCCTTTTCAATATTAAAGAGATTACAGTATACGTCATGTACATGTACATGTATGTGACTGCATGCAATTTCTGTAGTCTGGAAGTAGTTGGAACTCAAGATTGTAGTGCAAACCTCAAAAGCTTATAATTATTCAACACTAATTCCAGCAAAAACAGATGTTAGAAAATTTTGACGGTAGTATAATGAATTTTTATTCAATTATTTTAATCTCTTTTCTTCTGTAATTCCCATTAGGCATTACAACTACAGTATCAACTGCATGGGCCTCCTATGCATACACAAGCTCAACCTTGCACCTTGCACCGAAGTCTATGTCTATGGTTTTGGCGCGGACACACATTGTTCAAAAATATGTTAAAAAACCCCAAATATATACAAAATCTTTTTAACCCATTCAGTGGCGGCACTCTCCCCTTGACAAGTAACATTTCTGTTATGGAGGGCTTATCAGAGGGCATTGTCACTTAATTCTTAAAGGATTAATAGGGAGTTTAAGATACACCAAATCTACGACGCGCGGACATGACGAAAAACGGCTGCTATTATCACAGTTTCGCATCACGGTTAAAAACTATGTTGGTGTTGTTGGTAAACACAGCCAAGGGCAAGGGACACGAGAAAAACAAAGTAAAAGTAGTCTTCCATTATTAGCGACTGTTTTTTAGTTTTTTCCATATAATCACCTGTGAAATTATACTAAAACAATTATTCACCTCAGGCTCGGTGATTATCGTGAATAAAAACCTCGACTTCGTCTCGGTTTTTATTCACCGATAATCACCTCGCCTTCGGCGAATAATTGTTAATTAAACAAAATTGATAGATCCAATTAAATATATGATGCTTGTGATGTTACTCTGAGTGTATATCCACACCAGACAAGCTTGAAAAATATGCCTGACCACGGTGGGAATCGAACCTACGAAGGTCGTAGGTTCGATTCCCACCGTGGTCACGCATATTCTTCAAGCTTGCCCGGTGTGGATATACACTCAGAGTAACATCACAAGCATCATATTCACCTGAGTACATTACACCAACACAGAAAAAATCATAATTAAATATATGTTTATACATTTTGGTGCTTTTCATACTTTTTGTGTTTTGTTTCGATTATCCTAATCCTGCATCATCCCAGCGCAAACGGCACAATGTCAATAACTGAAAATTTCTTGCCAAATTACACTGTAGCAAAACTTTTGTATTGACATTTACTTCAATTCCCAGCACTGCCAACTGTGTATTTTACTTTGATTGATTTTATTATCTGTGGTTTTAGATATTTTCTGCTGCAACTGGAAAAGTTGTTACATTTCATCAAATTGAACTTAAAAGTCATTATCCACATGAAGGGTATATTGAAGAAATTCACTGTTTTAATATGCTATTATAGCTAATATATAGCTGTTGCATGTATATAGGTTAACATTCAGGCACTAGATGTGTATACAGTATATCAATTAGAATTTGCCTATAGTGCCTAGTCAAGTGGCTGTCAATTATGTACTGACAAGATTTGTTGAAATAAGTATGAAAATGATGTTTCAAATTGAAGTTGAAAAGTTGAAAATTCTTTTCATTCTTACCAATTTGCCAATTCGTCAAGGTGAGTCAGGTGACCAACTTGTGCTACACCGTTAGTATTGTAGGCATTACTGCATGTTTAACAGTAAAATCCATCAGTTCTATAAAATTGATTCTGTAGTGCAATCCTTTATAAATCTTTCAGATGGGTTGAGCAAGATCCTTGTGAAATTTTATCCACAGTTAAAGAATGTATGGAAAAAGTAACTGAGAAATTAAAAAATATTAATATTGACCCGAAAAATATTAAAGGTGAGTACTCTGAAGCCCTGGTCAAACGAGGATGAGAGTTGATGAGAGTTAGCAGTCACGCATGCATTGTTACAAAGAAGGGCATTCCAAGCTCTATATAGACTATTAATAAACGTTTGGTGAGTATTTCAACTATGTTTTAACTTAAATAGAATACATGATAGTGTTAGCAAAGCATTAAGATTTGAGAACAACTAAAGACAAAGTCGCGTGACTGCTACAGTAACTCTCATTCACTCTCATCCTCGTTTGATCTGGGCTTGCCTTAATTAAAGATTTGGTAAAATGTAGGTTTTAGTTCTACACAGATCTGCATCCACTATACTCGAATCTTGTGTCTTCTCTGCCACTGACACTGTAGTTTAGTTATGCATGACCACTCATTAGGTTTACATAGCTGTCAGTTGTTGGGATCCGCGGTAACCCTGTTGCCTGCCAAAGATTGTCGTCGGTGAGTTGTGTGCTTGATCTACTCAGTACAACTCAAATTGTAAGCAAGTTGCATGCGACAGTTTTAGGCAAAAGATGTGTAGTGCAAATCGGGCATTACTCAATGTATTTAACAATTTATTAAAACATACGTGCAGATTTAACAAATATAAAACATTTTCCGTCTTGATATATACAGTTCTATCCGCACTCGTGGAAATTGGGAAAACGAGAAATTGTGTGGAAACACGACGCCCGAAATATAACTATATCAATACGGAAAAATGTTTTATATTTTTTTATATATAGCACGAACACATATAAAGAAAGAAATTTTCCGTGTTGACATTGAGTTACAGTATATCAACACGGCTCTTGGCCAATCAGTGTTCAGAAATTACAAATGCTGTATTATAAATATTATTACATGCATGCGCTACACGGCCTGATGAAAAGCAATTTATTTTGTAAATATTCCTATATAGTCGATTAGTTACCATGTCAAAAGATGTTGAATAATAATGATAATTAATAGTAATAATTATAATAACAATAAAAAATAATAATAAATAATAATTATAATAATAATTATCATAGTAATGATATCATGCATGGAGTGGAGTCCTCTATTTGCCAATGTCGTTAAATGGCACTAATTTGGCAGAGTTTTACCCAATTATTTTTTACAACAGCTGTGGGAATAACAAATCAGAGGGAGACAACGGTTACTTGGGACAAACAGACTGGAGCGCCGTTGCATAATGCTATAGGTACTGTCTGTGACATTATTCTTTTCAGTTCATTGTTTAAATGACAGAAATGGTGCCCTAATTAATCTTACTTGTGCGATGTTTTAGTTTGGCTTGATGCGAGGACGAAATCGACCGTTGACAATTTCAAAGCCAAAGTGCAAGAAAGTGAACTGGAAGAAATTAGGGTAAGATTGCAGAGTCTGTACATTCTCTTTGTTCACGCGTAATTGATCTGATCAAGTGCAACAGAAAGGGGTCGAGTTGGATTGCAAATTGTAACACGTTTAGGGTAAACAACTATTCTCTGGAATTGTTCTCATCATCTTCCACATTTACTTGATTTGTCTTTGTTCTGGATTTTAAGAAAGTGTGAGCATTTTCTGATCGTATAGAATGAAGATCATATTTCATAGTCAATGCATCTTATAGGGCCTAGTTTTCGTGTATCTGACATCAGTTAAAGCCCACGTCTTAATCATGAAAACGAGGCTCTATAGCCAAGATGCGTACTTCCTGGAAGGGTGTGTTGGTGCCTTTCTTCTGAATCACAGAACTGTACAATTTCTGATTTATTGTAGTTTAGATGGAAGTAGCTGCCATTTATGTCCACCTTTTTTCGCCATGTTACATCTAGTTACCTATGTTAAACCTAGTTAACCGTTTGATTGCAGAAATTATGTGGTCTTCCATTAAGCACGTATTTTAGTGCAGTGAAGATAAGATGGTTACTTGATAATATTGATGCAGTAAAGAATGCAGTAGAACAAGACCGCTTGATGGTTGGAACTGTGGATACCTGGCTTATTTATGTTAGTATATTCTCTTTGAGCACGTTTGATTCACATGCAAATTTTCATTAATTACTGTACTTCCCCTAGATCTGCTCCATGTCTGAGTTATAATGGGCGCGCGAAAATGCGAGTGACTTTAAATTCTTATTCAAATAAACACCGGCCTTCGAGAGGCAGACGGGATTAATAAAATACCGCTATCAGTATTACTAACTATAAGTAGTGGCTAGGCAACGAGGGGCTAGGTGAATATGTTGGGGAGGAAGACTGAGATGAAAATGTTCTATAGTAGCTGCCTACATTAACAACCTTTCAATTCTTGCCATTGATCACTTGAAAAATGCTAGAAAGTTAGAAACAGCGTTCTAAGCCGCGCAATTTTTCGATCGAGGGATGCAAACAAACCTAATATTTATGGACTGTTTATGCTGTTCTCGCAGCTGTAAAGCCTGGTTCACACTGGTAATTAATCGGCGATCTATTGTATTCTTTTCCGACAGACAAAACATTTTACACACCAATGATCACAGAAAAATTGATGAAAATTAAAAAATTGATAAATTTCCATGATCATGGAAATCCCCGATTCTTACGACCAGTGTGAACCAGGCTTAACTCTAAGCTACTTCATGAGTAATATGTTATGATACAATAAATGTATGCGGGCTAGTAGTTTTATTACTATGATTATGATTGGTGATCAAAACGTTAGATACATAATATGCTTTCATGTTTTGGGTTGGGAGTAGTTACGATCCAGTGAGTCCATATTTTGACTTTTTTAAAAAAAATGCCACTAGTATGATTCTGCTATCTTGTGTTCACACTCATTGCTTGCAAATGACCTGCATGTGTTCAGTCGATTCGTATAAGAAAAGATGAACCCAGGGTTTTTCGATGAAGCGCTGCAAGGTTGTCAGTATAGATGTACTGTATTTTATGAAGTTTTTGTTGTGTTTCCAGAATTTGACAGGAGGTACAAATGGTGGGATCTACGTCACTGATGTCACGAATGCCAGCAGAACAATGTTGATGAATATTAAGACGACATGTTGGGACGAAACATTGTGCAAGTAAAAAAAAAATGGTTATACAATGTTGATTAATATATACATTTATGAAATTTCAATTTTTCCTACATAAATTTCAAAAGCTCCTGATATTTCCCTTGAGTTTCAGGAAGTATTATAAGTCACCATGATATGAGTGGTGAAGCTATCCATAGCTGCACTATGTGCGAACATTGAATTGAAATAGATTGTTTTTGGACTTTCTAAGTCTAAGTTGACATGAGCAGTTGCCAGCTCGCCACTTCATGATACCTACTACCTGTCGTTTTAGATTTTTTGACATCCCGATAAAAGTACTACCAACCATCAAAAGTTCATCTGAGATTTATGCACATATTGTAAGTATCTGCACACGTACATTTACTCAGCTAATTTATACATTATGGCTATATAGATTGCTATTTTATTTATAATTACTTATTTTAGAAAACCTTAAATTGACATTGGTCAGCATGTTTAAATGGTATTTTATTTACATATACAGTACCTACCTATACGTATTTTAGAGATCAGTTAAACTTACACAAAATTATAATAATATAACTTCCTCATGGTCAGTAAATTTATATTTAAGACTGACGGTGCTTTTCAAGGAATACCTTTATCTGGGGTAAGTAATTAATCCACGCTATTTTATAAGTTATAGCAAAGGTAGTAGAGAGTTACAGATTGACATTTACAGAACAAACTTCAAATCGTATTTTGAGGTCAACTGCTATAGCTTGAAGTTAGGACAAATTGTGCATTAAAGTTAAAGCATGAATTAGCTACCTAGCTGAGTTGAAACTTGTAGAACATACCTTCAAATGCGATTTGACGTTTACCGTTTGTGGTTAGCGCTCTAATAATATACATAAAGATATTACTCGACTGTGATTGGTTGATTTCAGTGCAGTTAATCCCAAACAGCAGTGCAATTTTCTGTATTTTTAAATGGAAAAGCATTTACCTTAAACAAGAATGACAAAAATTACATAGTTGAGTGGAATTTTCAAGCTGTTAGCGTTGTATAATGTGATATAACAAAGCCAGGAAAACTTTGCCAGTGGAATGTTCGCTATAAACGCGTAAGTTAAAACTACAATTGTCTCGAACATTTTTATGTAAATTATTAATAAGTAATAGCATGGTTTCTCGTGAAATTTGGATAAACATGCACTCGTGAGTTTTTCAAAGACCTCAAATAGTACTCGGACTCATGCTATTTTGACGTCTTTGAAAAAATCACTCGTGCATGTTTATATCCAAATTGCACTCGAAACCATGCTATTACCTATACTAACTATAGCTAGTTAACGACGTAAAAAACGTCAATTTGTAACTTTCTCTCTCTAATCTGCAGTGCATCAACATTTTTACAGTATATGTATCTTAATGTTTTGATTGTATTTACAGTGTCTTGGTGATCAACAAGCTGCTCTTGTAGGACAATCGTGCTTTGAAAAAGGACAAGCGAAAAATACGTTAGTATTCAATTTCGCACAATATGCTACTCGTATGTTCGAAACGTCGAGAAGTACTGATTTGGAAGTTGTAATTCGACATTTCAAGCGATGGCACTTTGTCAGATAGTTTGCCAATTAACTAGAGTTTTCTATCGGATGGCCTTTTAATCAGGATTTACAGGGTATATAACACCAGCCCCCTACCCAGCACCCTACTTCCCCAAACATCCTCGCGCAAAGCTCGCGCACGTTCAGTTCGAATCTGCAATTAAGCACCTGGGACGAGACTGATTTAGTACACTGTATCTTTACAGTACTTTTCTCGGTTTGCCATCCATGGAAATTGACCTCATAAGATTTTGTTTGGTTGCTAAATTGGTCCCTCCGCCCCCGTCAGGATGACGTAATAGTGAACTTTTGTTTTATCATTAGTCATTACAGTCAAAAAGGAATAAAACATGTGCGACAAAAACTTAGTTAAAATTAGAGATGAGCCGATCATCGGCAAAACGATAATCGGCCGATTAACGGCCTCTTTTCCACTTTTCGCCATCGGCCGATTGTCTTCCACTATCGATTTAGTCAGCAGTCGATTGTCTTTCCCTAGTATCGTATATCAGTGACTTTGTCTGTCTCGCCCTTGTGTGTCATGCCTCATGGCTTCTCATAATTCTAAAAATATCTCACATTCATTGACATTGTATATGACACATGGTCATGTTATAGTAAAAACATTTTAAGTATTCCTCATTGTATATCTTTTCAAGAAATTTCAGTTTTTCAGACATGCGTAAAAATAGAGCAAACGCAGAAAACGCCGCTTACCTGCATGTCAATTTTCAGTTTTGTTGTGGTTAAAATAGAAAACTGAAATCGTCATTCTTTCGTTGCGAAACAAGCGAGTATTTAGACAAAGATGAAAACTCCACAAAACTTTAGCGTCAGATAAAATGATCATCGGTTTTGCCGATCAATCGGTCGATGGTTGGTATATATGTATCGGCTCCTCAACAATCGGTATCGGTTTTCTTTTATATCCGCTGATATCTAGTTAAAATCAATGTTTACAATGACTTAAAAAATTTTCACATGCAGCTCCAAAATATATCGGCTTGTTCCGTACATGTCAGTGTCAAAATATCTCTTGACTGTCATCTGCTGCCTCGTAACGCATACTAAAACGACCAATTTTTATTTATTTTTTAGATATGGCACAGGTTGTTTTCTCCTTTACAATACAGGGGAAGAGGTGCATAGAATTTTCTTACTTATATTTTACAATATAATTGTGTGTTCTCAAGTGGTTCTTCATAACTGTACATGTATTTGTGGCATCTTAAATTTAGTCAATTACGTCACATCACGGATTGCTGACGACTGTTGGGTATAAGTTTGGTCCAAAGAGCCCGACTGTTTACGCTTTAGAGGTGAGGATCAGATTATCAGTCATTGAAACCACTCGTACTAGCAGGCCAAGAAAAAATAGTTTTCTTCCTCGCCGAAAAATCCGTAAATAGAATCTTTACATAATAAAGCAAATGTAAAAATTCTTGCATGCTGTAGTAGGTTTCTGAGAACGTGTGGTGCCACATGATGGTAAATACCAAATTCGACACGTGCATGACAATTGCAAAACGGATTTGAAATTTTTAAACGACAAGCAAATGCTATGGGATTCCAATTTATAAGTTGGTAGAAATTTCCGCAAGGCGTAAGCAAATTTATTTTTGAAATGTTTAAAAATATCCTGACAGCGATGCTGCTGGCTCTCCCGGACATTTTCCAGCATTGCACTCCAGTGGATACAAGTTACATCGACATGCAAGGCCAGAGACCTTAGGTTCGATTCAGTATTGGAACATTCAGACTAGAGATGCGCAAATCTGATCCGAAACCAATCCGAATCCGATCCGATCGGATTCGTTTGGATTTCGGAACCATAATATTCACATCGGATTGGAAAAGTATTTTTGCAGTCGGATCGGGTCGGACTTCGAAACCTCCATTATCCTCCAATCCAATAGGATGTTGTAAACCTCCAATCCAATCCGATGCACACCGCTAATTCAGGCAATAATTCGAATCCATTATACAGCCCCGGCCCCCGTCTGTACTGTACTAATAGTAAGTACATCTTGTTGTATAAGCACAACGTGTGAGGATATTTTGTTATAAAATTCTGCGATAAAATAGATTTGTTTATGTACATGATAAAAGTTTGACGAAACCTCTATTAAAATTCTATAATAAAATGTTTAAAGATTCATATGGCTAGTTGTACTTTAGGGCTCTGTTGCTGTTGCTGGAGATGCCGTGAAATGGTTGAGAGATGGACTGGGACTGATTGAAAAATCTTCAGATATAGGTAAACCATACTGTTGTTTCTGGCGTATTTTACAATTGTTTTGACTTAACATGTTCATATAATAAAAACTTGTTTGCATGGTATTAAATCCTATGACGTGTTAAGGTTTTTTGTACAGTACTAAGGTTTATATGGTAATGTTCAATATCGTCAAAAACTTGGTAATTTCTTGGTAATTGTTTGGCATGCCATTACTCCATTACTCATTAGCCAATTAATACACGCTTCCGGAAAGTACGTCACCTTGGCTATAGAGCCTCGTTTCCATGACTGAGCATCAAGCTTTGACTAATGTCAGATACACGAAAACGAGGCTCAATAGCCAAAGTGACGTATTTTCCGGAAGGGTGTATTCTAATAAATCCCTGTAACCATTCTTATTCCATTTTAATTTCATTTTTTAAACTATATATTAAAAATTGTACCAATGAAACAGAGTTCAGTATTTAATGTCTACTTTTTTAGAGGCGTTAGCATCGTCTGTGCCCAATAGCGGTGGTGCATATTTTGTACCAGCTTTCTCAGGACTTTATGCTCCGTATTGGCAAACGGATGCTAGAGGGTAGGTCCACTGATCAATTCTTCACCCCATTTGAATCTGAATGTCACCTTGATGTGTCCCTTAATTTTAATGTGTAATTTAAATGGATGTTAACTTTTTCTGCAGGATAATAATTGGTCTGACTCAGTTCACAAACAAAGCTCATATTGCTCGTGCAACTTTGGAAGCAGTCTCATTTCAAACTCGCGAGGTCAGTTCTGTTTTATCGTTTTTCTGGCGTACATGTGTAAAGGATTAACGAGTAAATTTGTTTTAATCAAAATAGCATGAATACCAAACAGAAGAGATCCATATAGCAACCTAGTATGATGACACTGGAAAAAAAAGTGAAATCCATACTACGAAATTTGCAATTGCACCACTAAATCCATAGTATATCCATAGTATTTCCATACTATATCCATGGTATGGAAATATACAATTATTATGGATAATCAAAATCCATTCTATTTCCAATAAAGGTCCATACAATTTCCATTTTATGACCTTCTATGGATTTTCAAATTTTTTTCCAGTGTGACTCGTAAGAATATACCGTGCTAAACACAAAGATACTTCAAGGATTTACGGGTTGGAATATATGGATAGGAATAATAACAGGATAGGAATATATTTTCTTCTCTATAGGAAGTAAAACAGTAACAACTAATGAACTGAATCAAACGTAGGACATCTACAGTAATTATAGAATAATCTTGAATGGTCTGTGCCAGTGTAGGTAGCGAGGATAAAAAGACATGCAGCAGCAGCTGCGGATTGAGAGAGATATACAACTACTGAAAAAGTAGTTATATCGCTCTCAGCTGTCTCGTAATTATAGTTTTTTCTGGCAGTTTATTAAAATGGCAGTTTATTAAACAGGGTTCGTAGCGGTCTTTGAAATCCTTGAAAGTCTTTAAATTGGAATGCAGGTCTTTGAGGTCTTTGAAAAGTCTTTAAATTGCGTGAAAAAGCGAAGAAAGTCTTTAAAAGTCTTTAAATTCTTTAGTGAGGAATTGATTATACGATTTCCTAGCTAATAAAATCGATTGATTGAAATAAGATTTTCGCAAATATCGACGAAAATGCGCATTTTAGGATGTGATTTGACGGAACTAATACTGGGTAAAAATGGTGCTTACACTCGCAATTTTTCGACAGCTGATTGCTCTCAAAGGTCTTTGAAAAGTCTTTGAAAATAGACAGAAAAAATCTTTGAAAGTCTTTGAATTTTTTTGGTCTTGGAGACTACGAACCCTGTTAAAATGCTCATTACGGTTTGTTGTATCCTCTTTTAAATTCTTCATTAACCATACTCAACATTACAAGTACTTTTAACATAAAATTGTACTAGCCACGTTGAATAGATCGAATGCGCGGGTTTTATAACAATGAAAGTTTTGAAACTTCGCACGTTACTTTTGTTGCAGTTATTGGATGCAATGAATCAGGATTCAGGAATTCCTCTAACATCACTCAAAGTTGATGGTGGCATGACAGCAAACTCATTACTTATGCAGATCCAAGCTGATTTATTAGGAATACCAGTAGGTAGGGTATAGTTTTTCTCTTAACTAAGGATGACGTATTCACCCACTATAGAGGTGTCAATCAGTTATGTATTGAAGAAACATTCAAATATGACTTAAAACTATCAATTATTAAAAATACATGATCTTGTTGCTATCTTAGTGCGTCCATCAATGACGGAGACAACAGCACTGGGCGCTGCGGTGGCTGCTGGAGCTGCAGAAGGAATTGCATTATGGGATATTAAAACTAAGAAAGAAAGTAGCGGTGTTTCAATATTTCAACCAAAACTGGATGAGAGTGGTAAGAATTTCACTAGTTTAAAAATGATTATTCGTGTTTTTTTCGTGTTTTACTGCACGCATGACTTGGTAGACATGCTTGCTTGAATTTAGGTTGATCTTATTCGAAAGAACTCTTGAGTAATGTATATAATATAACTTATTTTTCATTTTTTTTTTCAACGTCTATCGTCGTTTTCCAACTATATTTCAGTTTGTTGAAATAAATTATATGATGTTATTAGCAACAGACGTTTTAGCTTTTGATGTTTAGTTTAATTCTGCTGGAAATTTTACAAACCAAAGTTTGTCAATAGATCTTTCCCCTTTTGAGTGAAATTTTGATCTAGACAAGTCTGGACAAAAATTTCACTAGCTTGCCGGAAAGAGCATCACAAGATTAGTAATATTCCGAAGTTTCGTTGCGAAATGTTGTAAAATGCGGATAATATAGCCTTGCGATGTTTGCCGTTTTTCAGTCATTTGGTATTACAAACGGGAAATTGATAATCAGATGATCAAACTGATGCAAAATGTTAGATTGTAATGCAAAATGACTGAAAAAACGGCAAACTTTGCAAGGCTATATTATCCGCATTTTACAACATTTCGCAACGAAACTTCGGAATATTACTAATTTTGTTGCCCAGGCATATCTAGATCAAAATTTCACTCATAAGGGGAAAGGTCTATTGTCGAAGACAGCACTGTAAATTTGAAGGAGTTGAATCAACTCCAAAAAACGGTGACAGAATAACACTTGTGGAGTTGATTCAACTCCTTGAAATTTGTATACACGCGTAAAAACGCTCAGGTTGTTGCAATATTGATGAAAACAGGATTGAACAATGTTTTGCTGCCCACATTGTTCACAGTTGTCAACAATATTGAACAATATTGTTACACCCGATTCAGGCTCAACAATATTGTTCAATATTGTTGACAAGTGTGAACAACGTGGGCAGCAAAACATTGTTCAATCCTGTTGAGCAGCGGGCTCGGCGTTTTTTGCCGTGTAGGTAATCACATGTGGCCGTGGCCATTTGTGAAACTTTGAAAACACAAGTGAAATTAAACCTTAATTTTACGAGGAACTATGCGATTACTTGTTAATCATAGAGGGCAAAATTTATTCGTTAGTTAATTGTGAACTTGTCAAGTTCTTGAACTTCGTACGTCTCCATGTCTTCGCCGATGTTTAATTCTTAATGCTGCCCTAGTAGTAATAGTAAAAAAGAAATAAAAAAAGGGGGAGTGTGAACCTATTTTATTTAATAGAGAATAGTATTGAAAAAGAAAGTAAAATAATGTCGGAATAGTTATTCAGACATTCCACGGACGGGGGGAATTTTCTTGGGGTGTGGTCCAGGGGCGTTGGCGGCAAGCGCGTTGGCGGCGAGGTTGCGTGTTGCGCATGCGCGAGGGAACTCTTAACCCAAAGCCTCGGTCGACCGAAGTGATTTTCATTTGAATTTCGCGCCGTGATATAGTGGCGCAAGACGGAAGTGACGTTACGGAAGTGACGTTGCGGAAGTTATACGGTTGTCGAAAGGGTGCGGGTGCTAGCAGGAAGTGGGAGTTTTTTACGGTACTATAAAAACAAATAACGCAAGATAAACGCGCAAATAACACAAAAGATGGCTGAATGCAATTTAAACTGTTCGCCTGTTGTTAAGTGCAAAAAGTGCACGCAAGCTAAACGTATATTTGAAGGGGAAAGTTGTGCTCTTTTGTACAACGATGACGAAGATTGGTTTGATGATGAAGATGAGGAGTTTGTTTTTACGGACTCAAATCAATGGTTTGAAAACGCGTTTGAATCAGGAATAAAGGAACGTGAAGACATGCAGTGGGGATATTTGCAAGTAAAGCAAAAACAGTTAGATGGGGCAAGAAAAAGATCTAAAACAATCCTGACAAAGAACAAAGGTGATATTATATGCACAAACACCAAACAATACGTCACCTACGAAATGTTCGCAGAATCAAGAAAGAAAGCGTTAGAAACAATTAAGGAACAAAGAGATATACTATATAAAATAAATACAGCTGAAAACCTACTAACAAACCTACTAAAAAAACAAACCTAACATGTAAAATACCAATAGAAATATTGTAAAAAATAAATAAACTTATAAAAAAACATGTAAAAACATGTTTATTTTGCTAAAAAAAACTTGTTTTCCTATTTACCCTTAAACAACCGTATAACATTAACTTCCGCAACGCCACTTCCGTCTTGTGCCACTATATCACGGCGCGAAATTCAAATGAAAATCACTTCGGTCGACCGAGGCTTTGGGTTAAGAGCTCCCTTGTGCATGCGCAACACGCAACCTCGCCGCCAACGCGCTTGCCGCCAACGCCCCTGGACCATACCCAAAAAAAATCCCCCCCCCCCCCCCCCC